TAGTTCCAGCTACTTGGAAGGCTGAGGTGAAAGGATCGCCGGAGCCCAGCAGGTCGAGGCCGCGGTAGCTGGGAGCGTGTCACTGCACTCCAGTCTGGGTGACAGAGTGAGACTCCCACTCAAAAAAAAAAGAAATCAATACCATAAGAAGTCTCAAAACCACACAAATACATGGAAACTAAACAACTTGCTTCAAAATGACTTTTGGGTAAACAATGAAATTAAGGCAGAAATTAAAAAATTCTTTGAAACAATTTCTTTGAAAATAGAGACACAACATACCAAAACGTCTGGGAAGCAGCAAAAGCAGTGTTAAGAGAAAAGTTTATAACACTAAATGCCTACATCAGGAACACAGAAAGATCTCAAACAACCTAATATCACACCTAAAGGAACTAGAAAAACAAGAACAAACTAAACTCAAAGCTAGCAGAAGAAAATAGATAACCAAAATCAGAGCAAAACTAAATAAAATTGAGAAAAAAAACATACAAAGAATCAACAAAACAGAAAGTTGTCTCTTTGAAAAGATCAACAAGATGGATAAATCACTAGCTAGATTAACAAAGAAAAGAGAAGATACAAGTAAGCACAATCAGAAATGACAAAAGTGCCATACAACCAATCCCACAGAAGTACAAAAGATCCTCAGAGAATACTATGAACATCTCTATGTGCACAATCCAGAAAATCTAGAGGAAATGGATACATTCCTGGAAACACGACCTCCTAAGACTGAAACAGGAAGAAACTGATACCCTAAACAGACCAATAACAAGATACAAAATTGAATCAGGAATTTAAAAACCAACTAACCAAAAAAAAGCTCTGGGCCAGACAGATGCACAGTTCAATTCTACCAGATGTACGAAGACGAGCTGGTACCAACTCTACTGAAACTATTAAAAAAAAAATCAATGAGGAGGGATTCCTTCCTCACTGATTCTACAAAACCAGCATCACCCAGATACCAAATCTTGCAAAGACACAAGAAAACTATAGGCCAAATATCCCTAATGAATACAGATGCAAAAATCCTCAACAAAATACTAGCAAACCAAATCCAGCTGCACATCAAAAAGAGAATTCACCAGGATCGAATGGGTTTTATTTTTAGAATACAAGGATGGTTCAACATATGCAATTCAATAAATGTAAATTAAAAACAATTCACATAAAGTAAATTAAAAACAAAAACCAGCCAGGTACAGTGGCTCATGCCTGTTAATCCCAGCACTTTGGGAAGCCAAGGTAGATTGATTGAGATCAGGATTTTGAGACCAGCCTGGGCAATACAGCAAGACCTTGACTCTACAAAAAAAAGAGTTTAGCCAGGCATGGTGGCACACAACTGTAGTCCCAGCTACTTGGGAAGCGGAAGCAGAAGGATCACCTGAGCTCAGGAGATTAGCTTGCCATGAGCCGTGATCATTGTGATTATGCCACTGCATTCCAGCCTCAGTGTTAGTAAGATCCCAACTCAAAAAGATAATAAAATAAAATAAAAAACATCATTATCTCAATATATGTAGAAGAAGCATTCACTAAAATCCCTTTATGATAAAAGCCCTCAACAAACTAGGCACTGAATGAACCACCCCAAAATTATAAGAGCTATTATGATAAACCCATAGGCTACATCATACTGAATGGGCAAAAGTTGGAAGCATTACCATTAAGAATTGTAAAAACACAATTCACTCTCATCATTCCTTTTCAACACAGTACTGGAAGTCCAAGCCAGAGCAATCAGGAAAGAGAAAGAAAGAAAAGGTATCCAAATAGGAAAATAGGAAGTCCAATTATCTCTCTTTACTGACAACATGATTCTATACCTAGAAAACCCTAAAGATTCTGTCCAAAGACTCCTAGACCTGATAAACAACTTCAGTAAAGTTACAGGATATGAAACCAACATTCAAAAATCAGTAGCATTTCTATATACCAATATATATTTGGATTTCAAATTGAGAACCAAATCAAGAACACAATCCCATTTACAATAGCCACAAAAAATAGCATACTTAGGAATACATCTAACCAAAAAGGAGGAAGACCTCTACAAAGAGAACTACAAAAATCTACTGAAAGAAATCATAGAGGACAAATAAATGGAAAAACATTCCATGCTCATGTACTGGAAGAATCAGTATTGTTAAAATGCTCATAGTGCCAAACAAATCTACAGAATTCAACACAATTCCTATCAAATTGCCAACATCATGTTTCCCAAAATTAGAAAAAACAATTCCAAAATTCACATGGAACCAAAAAAGAGCCCAAATAGTCAAAACAATCCTAAGCAAAAAGAGCAAAGCTGGAGGTATCACATTATTGGACTTCAAACTTTACTGCAAAGCTACAGTAACTGAAATAGCATGGTACTGATGGAAAATGACACGCAGACCAATGGAACATAATAGAGAACCGACACAACCAACTTATCTTTGACAAAGAGTATAAAAATAAACATCAGGGAAAGGATACTCTATTAAATAAATGGTGCAGGAAAACTGGCTGACCATATACAGAAGAATAAAACTGGACACCTACCTCTCATCATTATATAAAATCGAACTCAGGATGAAATAAAGACTTCAATGTAAGGCCTCAAACTATAAAAATCCTAGAAAAAAACCTAGGAAATACTCTTCTGGACATTAGCCAAGGCAACAAATTTATGACTAAGTCCTCAAAAGCAGACTACCACTGACAACAAATTAGCAACTGAGACCTAATTAAACTAAAGAGCTTCTGCATAGCAAAAGAAACTATCAACAAAGTAAACAGACAACCTACAGAATGGGAGAAAATATCTGCAAACTAACCATCTGGCAAGGGACTAATACGCAGAAACTATAAGGAACTTAAATGAAGAAGTGAAAAATAACCCCATTAAAAGGTGGGAAAAGGACATGAATAGAAACTTCTCAATGAAAGGCATACAAGCGGGACAACAAATGTGAAAAAATACACAATATCATTAATCGTCAGAAAAATGCAAATCAAAACCACAATGAGATACTATCTCACACCAGTCAGAATGCCATTATTAATAAGTCAAAGAACAACAAAGTTGGCAAGGTTGCAGAGAAAAGGAAATGGCTATACACTGTTGGTGGAAATGCAAATTAGTTCAGCACCTGTGGAGAGGAATTTGGAGATTTCTCAAAGAACTAGAAAGAGAATTACTACTCAACGCAGCAATCCCATTACTGCATATAGACCCAAAGGAGAAGAAATCACTCTATCAGAGATATAGCTGCACTTGTATGTTTATCGTACTATTCACAATAGCAAAGACATGGAATCAACTGAGGTGTTGGATCCGAGTGAATTGGATAAAGAGAATGTGGTACTATACATACACCAGGGAATATTATACTACCATAAAAAGAATGAAATGGACCAGGAACGGTGGCTCAAGCCTGTAATCTCAGCACTTTGGGACACTGAGGTGAGTGGATTGCCTGAGTTCAGGGGTTCAAGATCAGCCTGGGCAACTTGGCAAGACCTCCTCTCTATAATAAATCAAAAAATAAGCCAGGCATGGTAGCACACACCTGTAGTTCCAGCTGCTTGGAAGGCTGAGGTGGAAGGATCTCTTGAGCCCAGCAGGTTGAGGCTGTGGTAGCCGTGAGCATGCCACTGCACTCCAGCCTGGGCAACAGAGTGAGACTCCAAATCAAAAAAAAAAAAGCATGAAATCATATCCTTTGCAGTAGTGTGGCTGCAGCTGGAGGCTATTAATCTAAGTAAATTAATGCAGAACAGAAAACCAAATGCCACATGTTCTCACATTTAAGTGGGAGCTAAACATTAGGTACATGTGGACATAAAGACAGGAACAGAAGTGGAAAGTCCAGGAACAGAAGTGGAAAGTCCAGAAGCAGGGTGAAGGGGAGGAGGAAGAACAGGGGAAAGGGTTGAAAAACTACCTACTGGGTACTATATTCACTATTTGGGTGATGGGTTCTATAGAAGCCCAAACCTCACCATCATGCAATATATCCCTATAAGAAACCTGCACATGTACCTCTGAATCTGAAATAAAAATAAACAAAAGCTATACTGCATAGTTCCTCTTTTGTTTTACATATTACAAAAACTTAAGATGGCCACTTTAAAATTGCTCATAGTTCTTCAAAGGGGAACTTCCCATATTCTTTATATAGTAAGAATAAATAAAACCTACAATTGCCCATTTATAATTTACCCAAAAGTTTATCATGCAAATAAAATGAATGAAAAATTTGGGAACTCATCTTAATTTTTCTTTCCACTACTATACCACATGCAGAATTAACTATAAGCAATAAGGAAATAATGCCTTAGCATTTTTCATGAGATTCAAAAACAGGAAGTCAGAACTCTCAAATTATCTCATGTCAAATAATAAAAATTACCTTACCCTGAATCCACTCCTGTTTCTTCTTCTTATCTGAAGCACTGATTTCAAAGGTCTTATCTAAACATTTTATGAGAAAAAGGCATTTCTTTCCATCTTTGTCAGGCAAGGACTAAAACAGAAAGCAAAATTAGTTCTTCAAAATTTTAAGTATTTAAATTAAATTCAATCTTAATTGTTTATGCAAATCTGACTGAAAAGCAATGTCAAAGAAAAATACCTACAAATCTATATTACTGCTTTACTATTGCTGCTCTCTGGGCAACATTATGTTACTTATGGTAACAATGACCCAGGACTGGCAAATTACATCCAGACTGAGAAAACCAATGAACATTTGATGGGGATGCTATGCTTTCAGCTTTCCTGAACACAGCAACTGTTGTCCTGAGTATATCCCTTGCAGGAACTGTGGAAGGTACATCTGTGGAGTTATTACAAGAGATACTGACTCTTCTGGGATATGAGACTTCTAAGTTGGTATGATTTCTACATCTGTCTGATGTGGCTTCCTCTCACTGCACCTGGGCTATTGTAACTTAGGAGTAGACTTTTATGGTCTTTGGCAACCTTGTGGCCTCCAGCACTTTGGGAGGCCAAAGCTGGAGGACTGTTTGAACCCAGGGGTTTGAGACCAGCCTAGGCAACATAACGAGACCTTGCCTCTACAAAAAACACCATTTGCTGGGCGTGGTGGTGTGCAACTGTAGTCCCAGCTACTCAAGAGCCTGAGGTTTGAAAGGATTTTCTGAGCCCAGGAAGTTGAGGCTGCGGTGAACTGTGATCATGCCACTGCATTCCAGCCTGGGTGACAGAGTGAGACCCCAGCTCAAAAGTAAAATAAAATACACAAAAATAAATCTAAGAGGACCCTTTCATGAACATTATACCCCAAAACATTAATATATCTATACCATTTTATTCATCAAATTACAATGCAGTTTAAGAGCGAGATCTTAGGTATTCAAATATTCTTCAACAAATACAGACATGAGGGACAGTTCATATAAAAACTTAAAACCCAAAAATGTACGATCTTGAGGATTTCACTTCTTTACAGAATTAGTAGCTTTGAATAAAGTGCCCGGAAAGTCACCCAAAATATTCAAAGATAAGTCTTACATTTTTTTTGTTTCATTTATTGCACTCAAAATTTTCTGGTATATTCATGATTTCGAATTCTGTTGGGTTCAGGCAGTCCTTCTGTCTCAGCCTTCCAAGTAGCTGGAACTACAGGCATGCATCACCATGTCCGGATAACTTTTCTTGATTTATTGTAGAGAGGAGGGCTCACTAAGCTGCCCAGGCTGGTCTCGAACACCTGGGCTCAGGTAACCCTCTTGCCTCTGCCTCCCCAAATGCTGGAATTACGGGTGTGAGCCACTGTACCCTGCCTACTGAGCACTTTTTACTTTATTATCTTTTTTATGACTCCATTTTTATCCAATAAATGACTCAAATATTCAAACGAATTAGATTTACTCCCTATACTTGTTCAAAATTATAAGACTGAAAATAAATCTTAGAAAAAAATTTTGTCAGCTATCTTTTTTTGACTCAGAAACTATAGTCACTATATGCCTATATTATTTTGGAAATATAAACTGTGGTATTATTTTAAGCCTGTAGAGTTTAGAGAGAAGATCAGAAACTATTTCAGGTCGGGCTTGGTGGCTCAGCCTGTAATCCCAGCACTTTGGGAGACCAAGGCAAGTGGATTGCCTGAGCCTGAGAGTTTGAGACCAGCCTGGGCAACTTGGTAAGACCTTGTCTCTACAATAAATCAAAAATTAGCCGGGCATGGTAGTGTGCGCCTGTAGTTCCGGCTACTTGGAAGGCTGAGGCAGAAGGATCACTGGAGTCCAGCAGGTCGATGCTGGGGTGGCCGTGAGTGTGCCACTGCCCCCCAGCCTGGGCAACGGAGTAAGACTCCAACTCAGAAAAAAAGAAACTACTTCAGCCAGGCTCGGTGGCTCAGCCTGTAATCCCGCGCCTTTGGGAGGCTGAGGTGAGTGGATTGCCTGAGCCCACAGGTTCGAGACCTGCCTGGGCAGCAAGACCTCATCTCTACAATAAATCAAAAAATTAATCGGGCGTGGTAGCGCATGCCTGTAATTCCGGTTACTTGGAAGGCTGAGGCAGAAGGATCGCTGGAGCCCAGCAGGTCGAGGCTGCGGTGGCCGGGAGCGGCTACTGCACTCTAGTCTGGGCGACAGAGTGAGACTTTCACTCAAAAAAAAAAAAGAAATTACTTCAGCAGCAGGGGGCAGCACCAGGTAATCATGGAAAGAAGCACAGACTTACCTCTACACAGCAGTTTTCATCCAAGAGAATGTCTCCTTTCTTATCTTTCAGATCCTCACTCACATAGTAAGAAATTATGTTGGGTTTTAGTACAAACCAGCGTTCAGTCCAGTTTTTCCGTCTGTGGCCTTTTTTCATCATGTAACCCTATGGAAGATTAAATGTGATATAAATTAATGTTCTTTTATTTGTAAGAGCTGATATCTCTTTGGTCATTCTTGCCTACCTCATTCTTTGATATATGATCCAGAATACACAAATACCAATTGTTCTTACCCTTGGTGGATCAGGGACCCTTTGAGAATCTCTGAAGGCCAGAGCATTTTACCCAAATTCACAAAAGCACATGCAGACAAAAGTTTTCATAGATTTCAGAAACTTTAGAGACAATCTTCTATCCAAAGTGACATACAGAATATAGAATTGGAGTCAAATGTTTGGAATTAGCATTTGGGGTTTTAAAAAATTTCTTGTCTTTTAGCGATAACTATTGAAATAATTATAGATATGTTAAAAATTAAATACCTGGTATTTGTTTCAAAATAATACAGGAGAGGCAAAAGCAGATGGGACAGAATTAGCCATGTGTTGGTGGTTACTGGAGCTTGGTGATAGGTATATGGGAGTTCATTATACTATTCTGTCTCTTCCATTAAAAAAAAAGAACCCCTAAAAATGATTCTCAGTAAATTAAAACTTCAATCAATGAAAACGTTAAAAGCATCAAATTGGACAAGTATATCTTCTCAATTAAAGGATTTCCAACCTACCTTGCTACCTGACCTCTCCTCTATTCTGAAGGATGAACTCTGCTCCAGACAAGCAGGAAAATACTGGACCAGGAGTTACAACACTGGCTTTTAAGTGTGGTGTCTAAGCCCACACTCACTAGCCCTGTGCTTCTTTCCCACATAGCCTTGACAGTGTAAATCAAATGTGTACTTCAGCAAAAGTATACATTATTATAGGCCAAAGTCCTTCAGGGTTGTTTGAGAATAGCTGATGTTTTTAATATTAAATCTACAGATGCTAATGGTATATGGTAGACTATACATATCATTAAATATATATATTAACTTGATTATAAGTTTCATTTGATTATTATACTACGTTATAATCATATTACTTTTTCGGCTTCCTTATCTTTGGATATTTAAACAAAATATATCTCATACTGTAATTCAACTACAGTACTATATCCTGCCATCCTGATGAACCTAGAAGTCCTCTTCTTACAGAAATGATGTCTCGTACCTCTTTGTAGCACCAAAAATCTATACAACTTAAGTCATAATGTTTATCGATAGGCTCCATTAGGAAAAAAGAACAAAGACAACAATATTACCTACTGAGCAAAGAAAGGAGAAAAGTAAGGAAATCCCAAATCAGAGTTAATAGTCAATATAATAATGTAAGATGTTTGAAGGGTCCACCAAAAAATATAAATTATATTCAACAAGCATCAAGCTTCCCATATGTGTATCACATTCTATGCTGGATGCTGAGAAAACAAAGATTTGTCTAAGTAAGAAAAATGTAGCTTTATTACATAAAAGTATTTTCTTCTAGATGTTTCTTCTAATTGTATAAAAATAATATAAAATATAATGTTGAAAATCTAATAACGCAGAAAATAATTTTTTAAAAAATTCACTAGAATCCCACAATCCAGAGGTGACCAGTGAAAACTTTGGCGAGCATCCTTCCAGATAGCTCTACACAAATACATCACATTACCAGAAGGGGATTACAAGATACCTCCTGTTCAGCAATATATTTTTTTCACTGAACAATATGCCATGGAGATCTTTCCAGATCAATGGATCTGATGTACACATGATAGGAAGGTATTTTTAAAATAGTTTGGAAATGTGATTGTTTAAACAGTTCTTCCAAAATAGCACATTCCCAAATCTTTTTTTTTTTTTTTTGAGTTGGAGTCTCACTCTGTCACCCAGACTGGAGTACAGTGGTCGCTCCCGGTCACCGCAGCCTCGACCTGCTGGGCTCCGGTGATCCATCTGCCTCAGCCTTCCAAGTAGCTGGAACTACAGGCGTGCGCTACCACACCCGGGTAATTTTTTGATTTATTGCAGAGATGAAGTCTCACCAAGTTGCCCAGGCGGGTCTCGAACCCATGGACTCAGGCAATCCATTCACCTCAGCCTCCCAAGGCGCGGGATTACAGCTGAGCCACTGAGCCCGGCTTCACATTCCCAATTCTTAACTGAACTTTAAAATTGTAATTCTTTAAAAGGAAAGCCTGATACGAGACAGGGAAAATAAACTTTATTTCTGTTCTAAATCAACGTAAAGAATAAGTGACTTATACTCATCTTTGTGATGGAACTAGTAATTTTTAAATGTCAAATTCTAAAGGTGAGAAAGAATATACAGTGTCACAGGATTCTTACCTGTTTCAACACATCTAATATAAGCTCATTAAAGACTTCATTAATTGCCATAGACACAGTCTGCCGATCCATGCCTTTGCTGAACTGCCCATTTCCAATAAGCTCAATAAGTTCCCACACAGAAAGGCCATCTTTGCTGTCATCAAAGCTGATTTTATAATGTTCAAATTGTTCTTGCTGCCAACCTCCTCCCATAGCTTCTGTAAGTTTCTTAAGCAGATATTCAATCTATATGAAGAATTAAAAACAATTATTTCCTAGTTAAAAAAAACTTTTTAACATAATTGTTTATCTATGTTATTTACACTGATATGGTCAACTTAGGAAATACTCTACAGTTCCAAAAATATACATATTTAAAGAATTTTCTAATATTAGGGGAAAAGGTATGGATAAAATGGTTCTATATCAGTTCAGAATAGGTAAAGGAATTAAAATTGGTAATCCTATAATGGTGTAGCATATTTGTATACAGAACTAAAGCAAACAGCACATGCACGATTATATACAATGTAATTACTGTGATCTGATGATTTCTATTGGATTAATATTTCAACATATCAGAACATTAATCTTACTCAACATTCAAGAGCTAAATTAAACATCTCAAAGTTATATGTGCAAATTATTGCCCAATTTACAAATTTTCCACATAAGTCAATTTTTTGAAATACATGCTGCTTCTTCCCATTTGAAAACTGACAATGTTGTAAATGATGGTTGAGCCCATCAGCCTGAGTCAGAAAAGCTTACTCGATCCTGAAACATCACATCTATGTACAACAAAGATAGCAGAAAATACTGCTATTGAAATAATGGCAGTTAAATAAAACGAGACAGTTATTCTGAATGAGAAATTGGTATGTCTTATCTTCTAGAAAGCCTGGATATACTACAATGCTCTCAAACTCAACATGTCTAAAAGTGAACGAATCATCTCTATCTTTCTGATGGCTTCTGCCCCTATTTTTTATTTCTATTAGGTGAACCATCATTCACACATCTATGCCAGGGTTCTTGTTCCCTACCTCCTCACGTAAAATCAATATCAAAATTGTGTCTTTACTTCTCTGGGTGAATGTTTTTCAAACTGTGGGTCATGGCCCCTTAGAAAGTCAATTTTCAGTGGGTCATAGCCAGCATTTTTGACTGAAATGAAAAATATTCAAATTCATCCACAATAAAGATAAATATTGTTTTGTGATACGTTTTGGTTTGTGTGTGCAAGTGTCTATGTATGCTGGTCATGATATAAAATGTTTATCTTCCTATGGGTTGCAGTCAAAAATGAAAAATCTCTTCCCAGACAGTTCTCATTTCTGTCCCCCATACTCTGTCTTTGATCAGAGCTCCTAGTTGGTATCCTCACCTCCAGTGTAGTTTTCTTTTCACTCAAATCCTGCCAGAGGGATTTTCTTAGAACAAAAGCCTGAGCCTGACACTCCCCTCTTCAAACCCTTCCCTGGCTCCCTATCATCTCAAAGAGAGGCCAGATTCCTTTGAATCCCCTGGTCATCATCCCCTAGTCTACTTTCTCAAAGATGTCTTCCATTATGCCCCACCTCAGATTTTATACTCTACTAATACCACCAATACCAGAGATTAGGGGTTGCAAACTTTTACTGTAAAGGGCTAAATAGTAAATATTTAGGTTTTGTAATTCTCTATCATGTTCTTTGTTTTTCAAATAACTCTTTAGAAACATAAAGACTATTCTTAGCACACTGGCTATACAAATATAGGTTGTAGACTAGATTTAGCCAGCAAGTTGTAGCCTGTCTATACTTGCCATAGATTATAAGCAGTTTACCCACTTAAAAATACTTTGTTTATGCTTCTCTGTCTTTTCTCATTCTGTCCAGTATACCTTTTCCCATTTCTCTACTCAGCTAACTGGCATTTGTTCAAGTCCTACATTCTCTAGAATATTCCTATTCAAAATGAACTATGTGGACCAACATTGGCATCACCTGGAAGCTTGTTAGAAATGAAGACTCTCAGACCCCCAAAATACTCAAAACTCAGAATCTGCATTTTAACAAGAACCCCGCCCCCACCCCAGGACATTTCCATAAGCACAATAAAGTTTTGAGAAGCATTGCTCCAGCAAACCTGCTCTGACCAACTCCAACCCGGCGCAGGTATTTCTTTTCTGTTACTGCATACTGTACTCAAATTATACTTTTACTCATTTGCTTCTTTACCATTTTCTGAATTCCTTGTAGAAGGGACAATGTCTCATTCATCTGTGAATCTACAAAGCTTAGCATGATACCTCAGGTACACAGCAAACTGATCGTTTTTTTTACTTTTAAGTTTTTTATTTAAAAGATGTGGGGTACAATTCAGGGTTAGGAATACAAATGTTCATTATGCTGGTACCCTTGTTGATGTGTGCCTCCTCTTCCCTAGGCAGATTCCCACTACTGCCAATCCCGCCTCCTTGCCACCCCCTACCCCACCCAGTTTCCCGCTACTACCAATCCTTTTCTTATAGTATTATGATAATTGTTCAAGGTCTGCTTATGAGTGAGAACATGTGATACTCAGTTCTTTGTTTCTGTGAAAGATTTCTCAGTATTATAGACTCTAAGTTCATCCAGGTTGCTGCAAAGTTCATAATTTTGTTCTTCTTTATGACTGCGTAATATTCCATTGTGTATTACCACATTTTTTTAATCCAGTCCTCTTTTGATGGGCAGCACGGTTGGTTTCATGTTCTTGCTACTGTGAACAGTGCTGCAATAAATATACGTGTGCGGGTATCTTTTTTTTTTTTTTCTTTGAGTTGGAGTCTCACTGTGTCGCCCAGACTGGAGTGCAGTGGCCGCTCCCAGCCACCGGAGCCTCGACCTGCTGGGCTCCGGCGATCCTTCCGCCTCAGCCTTCCAAGTCGCTGGAATTACAGGCATGCGCTACCACGCCTGGCTGATTTTTTGATTTATTGTAGAGATGAGGTCTCGCCAAGTTGCCTAAGTGGGTCTCGAACCTGCGGGTTCACGCAATTCACTCACCTCAGCCTCCCAAAGGCACGGGATTACAGGCTGAGCCACCGAGCCCAGCTGCGGGTATCTTTTTTACAGAGTGATTTGAGTTCTTCCAGATATATTCCCAGGAGGGGGACTGCAGGGTCATATGGAACGTCGATTTTTAGATCTTTTAGGAATCACCACACTGTTTTCCACAGAGGCTGTACTAGTTTACACTCCCACCAACAGTGTAGAAGTGCTCCCTTTTCGCCGAATCCTCTTCAGCATCTGTTATTTTTTGAGTTACCGATGATGGAGATCCTGACTGGAGTTAGGTAGTATCTCAGTGTGGTTTTAATTTGCATTTCTTTGAAGACTAGTGAGGCCTAGCATTTTTTCATGTATCTGTTGGGTGCTCGTATGTCTTCTTTTGAGAACTGTCTATTCATATCTTTTGCCCACTTTGTAACGGGGCTGTTTTTTCTTTTCAGCACAGTTGAGTTCCTTGTAGATCCTAGATATTAGGCCTTTGTCAGATATACAGTTGGCAAATATTTCTTCCCAGTCTGTGGGCTCTCTCCCTGCTCTCTTGATGGTTTCTTTGGCTTTGCAGAAGCTTGTCAGTTTGATGAGGTCCCACTTGTCTATCTTATCTCTTATGGCATGAGCACTTGGGGTTTTATCAGGAATTGGTTGTCAGTTCCAATTTCCATAAGGTTGTGTCCTGCATTTTCTAAGGTTCTTACAGTTTGAGGTTTTATGTTTAGGTCTTTGATCCATTTAGAGTTGATTTTGTGTATGGTGACAGGAAGGGGTCTTGTTTTAATCTTCTGCACGTGGTCAGCCAGTTTTCTCAACACCATTTACTAAATAGATTCTGCAAACGATCTTTACTAAACTAAAAGGAACTAGGCTAGGTCTCAATTTTGTCATCTATGAAATGGACATCATAATCCTCATCATATAAAACAAATATAGGGACAAAATGAGCAAAGTGCACAATGCCTGTCACACAGTAAGCACTCTATTAATGCTGCTTCCCCTCTGCACTGAGTGGAATATTATCCAGCCATTCAAAATTACATTTAAGACATAAAAATAACTGCAACATTAAATTTACCTATGATTTCCACTGAATAAAGATTGTGTAAATATTTCGTCGGAAAGAGTAAGTTTAATTTGTTACAAACAGTATTGTAAGGTTTTTTTTTCCTTTTTCTACTTTGCATTTCTATTAATTTGGTTATAATGTTTGAAAAATAACATATTTTAACAGAAAAAGAAGGAAATATAAGTTTGTAAAGGCATGTACATTCACAAAATATCACAAACTCAAAAAATGTCAAGAGTTCTACTGATTTAATTTGATGAGCTATTATAAGCTCCTCTTGGAGAAAGATTATTTTATGCCCTAAAAGCAGCACATGGTAGGTGTTCAACAAATGTTTACTTGTTGAAGACAAACACACTTAGGCCTTTTCTTCATCTTGTTGGAGATATGTCATCTACTGTTAAACTTATCAGATATTATTAGATACTTCCTTGGCTCCTAAATAGAAGTAACAGGAAAGGGGAGAAAAAAGGAAACAATTTTAAAAAAAGAGAGAAAAGGGAAGAGAGAAGGAGAAAAGGCAACAGACCGAGAAGAATACACAAAGATTAAAATCAAGAAGAAACTGAAGAGATACAAGAAAGAAAAAGAGTCAAAAGGGACATTATATAATTGTTCAAGGTAAAATAATTTAGTGGCATTAACAGGTACAGAAGTTCAATCTCTCTAAGGCAGCAAAAGGAAGGGCCTAGGCTGTGTGATTATAGCTTGGGGTAAAGAAAGCACAGGCGCAAGTAGAAGTTTCAGTAGCAAGGCCAAAGGAAGCACATGTGGTCACATGAATGTACAGGATGACAAGTGGGCATGACAAGATGGTGCAGCCAACTGACTGCTTATGTGCACAAGTCAGGAATCAGCCTTAGCCGTCCCTCACCTACCTCTTCATGAACCCAAGCCCCTCACACTCCGAGCTTCAGTTACTCTTTACAATCAGATGACTTTTTATATTGGTTGGGCCTGGTGGCTCACAACTATAATCCCAGCACTCTGGGAGGCTAGGGTGAGAGGATTACTTGAGCCCAGGAGGTTTCAAGACCAGACTGGGCAACATGGTGAGACCTCATCTCTACACTAAATTAAATAAATTAGCCAGGCAGGGTGGTCCACGCCTACAGTCCCAGCTATTTGAAAGGTTGAGGCGGAAGGAT